ACTTCCATATTCAGCACCAGCCAATATGATTGTGTCACGTCCCTCGTTCTTGTATTTCTGGTACAGCACACAAAGAAAATACAGTCTGATTAGAACAAAGCTATTCTGTTTTCAAAGCCTTTCATGATTAAAGAGATGTTATACCAAGGCAGCATCGAAGACAGAAAGTTTCTCTCCACTGGGAATGTGAACTGTTTTGGGGCCAACTTCTCCTTTCAAGTGTTTGTTGACAATACGGATATTGGCAAAAGTGCCTCTCGCCATAATCTCATCATTACCACGGCGACTCCCGTAAGAGTTGAAGTCTCTTCTATCTACCCCTCGTTCCATCAAGTACTTAGCCGCGGGACTGTCCTTGTGGATGCTACCAGCTGGTGAGATGTGATCAGTGGTGATACTGTCTCCGAAATTGAGCAAACAGTACGCGTCTTTCACGCCATGTGGACCGGGTGGAGACATGGTCATGCCCTTGAAATATGGTGGCTCGTGAATGTAAGTTGATTTCGGATCCCACTCGTAGAGTGTGCCTGACGCGACGGATAACTCATTCCACATGGAGTTTCCTTTGGTGATTGCTTCATATGTTGCTTTGAACATGTCAGGAAGGACACTAGCTTGCACAACCTGAACAAACGAAAAAACGAAACAGAGAATTTGACATCCCTTCCAATTATAAACTTTCTTATGGTTTTATGTATTGCACGAGCAGTCCTCAATATATTTACCTCCGCAACTTCTTTGTTTGAGGGCCAGATGTCCCTGAAAAATATCTTTTTGCCGTCTTTCCCAGTTCCAATGGGCTCTGTTTCAAAATCAATGTCAACCTGCAAGAACATTCATGGGATTCATTCAGTGTTTCATATAACATTATCAAGAATGCTTAAATGTTGTGTAATGGTTTTAGAGTTAGCATTAACATACAGTGCCAGCCAGGGCATAGGCTACAACAAGCGGAGGGGAGGCTAGATAGTTCGCCCTTGTTAACGGATGAACACGTCCCTCAAAGTTTCTGTTCCCGGACAACACAGCCGATGCCACCAAGTCTTGTACATATATAATAAAAAAATTTTAGTTTGTTTCACCTTTGAATATTCAAGTGAATAAGTATGTCATCATTACTAGAGGACTTACCATTATCAACTATTGCTGAAGCCACAGCTTCATGGATATCCCCCGAGTTTCCGATGCATGTGGTGCACCCATAACCAACTATACTGAATCCAAGCTGATTCAAGTACTTCTGCAAGCCACTGCAAGAGTCGAAACTCAGGACCACGTGGTACCAGGAGGAAATAAATAACAAAACATTTAATGGTGTAATTGCAGTACCTCTTTGCCAAGTACTTCGTTACAACTCCGGAGCCAGGAGCAAGACTAGTTTTAATCCATGGTTTAACCTAATAATGGAGAAATTTTAAAGACTTGTATAACTTCCACTAGATATCAAAACATGTTCACACAAAAGAGATGGCCAGAAAGGACAGTAGTCAAACCTCCAGTCCTAGTTCGCAAGCCTTTTTTGCAACCAAGGCAGCGCCAAGCATAACACTAGGGTTTGAGGTATTTGTGCAACTGGTGATTGCTGCGATAACAACATCTCCATGTCGAAGCTGTGCTGGGGTCCCGTTAAAGTTGAACTCTACAGCCTTACTCTGTGCTTCTTTTGGCACAGCAAATCCCTGAAATATCATGGATACGTAGGATCACTAACCACAATTTTGTACTGGGACTAAATTATACATCCAGAAGTGTTGCAGGACATAGTTGTCTATTGGACCCCTTTAATGACTCAATACCTATTATTGTTTCAACATTGCAAAACGGCCCATCATTTTCCTATAGATTAAACTCTCGGGACTGCAAGCATTCACAGTAAGATTTTTTTCTGAGCAGAAAGGATAATTCTAACCTTGAATCCTACTCTATTATCCAAGCAAGAATGCCAGTCCGCTTTCATTTCCTTCAAAGGAACGCGATCATGTGGCCTGTATTGTGCATAGAGAATAAATGTTATAAGTAGGATACATCCTTAACAACTTATGTAGAATAGATTCGCTAGTAGTACCTCTTAGGACCAGAAATACAAGGTTCCACATCCTCGAGATTCAATTCCAGATTTGCGGAGTATACGGTCTTGCTCTCCGGCTGAAAGAAAGAAATCCCCAAGTGGAAAATACGTTACGTTCTATGATAGATGAAAATAGACATAAGAAATGAGGTAATAGAGATGTCCAAGGTTTACCTCACTGTAGTCCACAAACATTTTGTTTGCACGTAAATACGCCTCTATCATAGAAACCTGAAATTCAATTCCCAAATCACTACCCTGATGGAAAACCAATCACAAAAAAAGTAGATTCCTCTTTTAACCCCTTACAGTTTCATCGCTCCTGCCTGTCAACTTGAGATACTGCAAAGTGACATGATCGACGGGGAAGAATCCCATGGTTGCACCGTACTCGGGAGACATGTTAGCGATTGTAGCACGATCAGCTAAAGACAATTCTCTCATCCCTTCCCCTGTGTAGGAAAGAGTAACGGATACATGTAAGTTAGCCTAACTCAGCCAGGTACTGGATAAGTAGAAGAAAAGGACAAATATGGATATCAAGTTTTTCATGAATGTACCGTAGAATTCAACAAACTTTCCAACTACTCCATGTTTCCTCAGCATCTGAGTCACTGTTAAGACCAAATCAGTAGCTGTCATCCCATCTCTTAGTTTACCCGTTAACTTGAAGCCCACAACACCAGGCAGGACCATGCTCATTGGCTGCATAGAAAGAGATGAATTCATGTTACAGTTTATAATAGAAGAAACTTCAACAAAGTGTTCAAACCTCAACTGCAAAGAATCACACCCTTAGATTTACAAACCCAAGTTTCAGAAAGACTTCAGAGAGTTAGTTCTGAGTACTTGACAGAAAGAGCATACAATTTACCTGACCGAGCATGGTAGCTTCAGCTTCTATACCACCAACTCCCCATCCAGCAACACCCAGTCCGTCAATCATAGTTGTGTGAGAGTCTGTTCCAACAACACTGTCTGGGTAAAGAAGTCCATTTGTGTTGAAAACAACTCTGGCCAGGTACTCTAGATTGACCTGTCAATCATAAAATCATAAATCTTAGTCCCTCTCAAAAAAAAAAAAAAAAGAAGACTTCCGGCGTCCAAACAAAATACAGTTATTTCAGAACCCTTATCACTTACTTGATGTACAATTCCAGATCCAGGAGGAACGACAAGCATGTTGTCAAAGGCATTGGACCCCCACTTAAGAAAAGCAAATCTCTCATTGTTACGCTGGAACTCAAGCTCCATGTTGGCCTGCACAGCGTTCTCAGATCTCGCCACATCCACTTGAACCGAGTGATCAATAACAAGATCTACAGGGACCTGCCATGTATAAAACAAACATTGCATCATGCGAAAAAGACCACAAGATATCAACCAATCCCAGTAAATAGCAGAAGGAAACTAACCAGCGGATTAATCTTATTAGAATCCCCACCAAGACTATTCATAGCATCCCTCATGCAAGCAAGATCAACAACAGCAGGGACACCAGTAAAGTCCTGAAAACAAACAGAAAAAAATAACATCACAATCCAATTTCAGGACAGCACAAACTTCTTATCTCATCAAGAATGCATGTATAAGGATTTATGGGGTTTGAAACAATTTTCTGATCAATATATATTTTTCTTAATCAATTTGGAGGCCAATGATGATATATATATATCAACCATACAAATTTGGAAGTTGAGGCCAATGTTTCATCTCGCTATGCCTAGAACCCACCCTGAGATTTACGGGGATTTAAACAACTACAAACCAAAGGTTATATGACCAATGTATATATATATATATAATTTTAATCAATTTGGAGACCAAATGATATAATACATAATAACCACAAAAATTTGAGAGCTGACGCAAATTTAGGAACAGCCATGCAGTATCTATATATATATAGACAGTCATATCTTAGGCTGAGTGTATCACCTGAAGAAGCACACGAGCAGGTTTAAAAGGAATCTCAACTTGATTGGGAGAAGTATTCTCCCAATCAAGAATCTTCTCAACATCTTTGCTCTTAACTTGAAATTCATCACAGTTACGTATCGCCGATTCCAGAAGTATCCTAATTGAATAAGGAAGCTTATCTACATCATCCAAAACAAACAACAACATGAAATAAAAAAAATGAAATCTCGGACTATTTTTTTGGTTCCTAAAAGCAACGATCCAGATGGAAAGCGAACACTCACCGATCCTCGGATCGTTGAGAGCTGGTAAGCTGTAGTAGTTCCCGAATTCGCCACCGTTAGGGTTCTCTAACGTCTTCAGTATGCTGCGGAAAGGGTTCTCGGAAGCTGGAAATGGATCAGATCGAGAGAGTGAGTCAAATACAAAGTCAGATTTTGTAAGATAGTAATGGAGAAAAGGAAATGAATCGTTACCCATGGATGATGTGACGAAGCGATGGCAGAGATCTGTTTTCGGGAGGGAGATGGAGAAGTTTGCGGAGTTGGCGAGGCGTTGATGGAGATTTTTTATAAGTGAGAATAAAATATCTGAAAGATGCGTGTGGGGTTCTCGCGTCAGAAGTGATGGCTGCTTTGATTATTATCTTTTTTTTTTCCTTTTTTCCTGAATATTCAGTGGTTTCTTTTTTGCATCAAAATTGGATTAAATTTTGTACTCCATCCACGTTACATGTGATAATATATGGTTGAATTATGTGCCATGAAAGAAAGAAAACGAATTGTTTTATACATGTATTGACTACTTTACGCATATTCGTTTGTGCAACGCAACCTACAACTTGCGATCAGTTAAAAAAAATTTTTTTTTTTTTTTAAAGGGCATATCATAAGCATAATTCTAATCGTTCGTTTAGACGGATAAGAAGACTTCCCATTAGAAGAAATTGAAGTTGAACCATATGATTTGGATGTTACTCTGATTTCAAATTGCTCGAGAACCTGGGAGAGAATGGAGATCATTTTGTCTTTAGGTACCAAAACAACAAACAGATTTATGGCAACGCCTGTTTGGTTTATAAAGATGTTCACTCTCAAATGCACCGGTTTAGTTTGTTGGTAACAACAAGATGTGGAAATAGAGAAGAGGAAAAAAAAGGAGAAACTATACATTCTGGTGTATTCATTAGCAGAGATTAATAAAAGCAAGAGCAGTTTATGAATCACCAGATTACATCAGATACGTGTGTGTGTGACTGTTGACACATCTTGAGGTCTCTTTAACCACAACAGCCTCCTCCTTGAGCGATCGCACCATCTCTTCTTCCAGCTTCACCTTGAGGACGTCCGTAGCCGACCTTGATGCCTGATGACTGCAAAAATCCAAACAGATTAAGGGAACTGAATCAAATTATGTTTGACATTAGAATCACACCCAGAATAGCAATGTCCAGGATTCACAAAACCCATATCAGCAGATAGCACAAGTACCAGAGAAATTAACAAGTTACAACACCAGAAAGTTAAGTTTGCTACTAGATTTAAGTAGGGATTTACCTCATTGGATACATCAAAGACGCCGTCCTGAATGTTCTGGAGGATCTTTGCTGCTGTCTTTATGAAGGCCTGTTGATGTTAAATGCATATTTTAAGCATGTTATTCCAGCTTATTTTTAAGACAAATTCTCCATAGGATGTTGTGATTACAGTCAAATAACAGAATTTGGGGGAAAAAAGGAAGTATAATAAATCACCTCCTCAACGTTTTGAGCAGTTCTTGCAGAAGCTTCTAAGAACAAGAGCCCATTTTCCTTGGCAAACTGCTCTCCCTCCTCTTTGCTAACAGCTCTCTTGTGAGCAAGATCGCATTTGTTCCCAACCAGCATAATACTCATGTTGGGATTAGCATGTTGCCTAGCATCCTCTAACCAGCTCGCCAGATGGTTAAACGTCTCTCTCCTTCAACCAAAAATAAACATACTTTTAAGGGCAAAGAGATGAAAGCATGAAAAGAGTCAATGATAAACTCTTGCAATCCATCTCTTTTGTCATACATACCCTCTCAAAATTCCAAATGGACTGTTTTCTCGTACCATTCTCTTGACAGAACTTTATTAGTAACTTCTTAAAACAAACTATCAAGATCTTTCCTTTAGTCTAAGCTTAATATAGAAGTGACCATCTCCCAAAACTTGGTCGGACATTCAGACTCTGAGCTGAAGTCTTACAGTGTCATTGGAAGAATACAAACCTGGTGATGTCGTAAACCAGTAAAGCTCCAGCTGCTCCTCTGTAGTACGATCTAGTGATGGATCTAAAAGACTCTTGTCCAGCCTACAAAAACATCATACGCATTTGGTTAAAATCACCAAACAAACTTGAACTAGAGAAGCCACACAAAACCAAACATAAAACAACTCAAATCTATCTGCCTGAAGACAAATACATCTGCCAAACAAAAACGTCAATAGACCTAACTAGAAGAGAAAAAAAGAGACAGAACCGTACTGTGTCCCAAATTTGGAGTTTGACAGGGCGTCCCTCCACGGTGACCATCCTAGCACCGAACTCTACACCAATGGTGAGATCGTGGACTGGTTGGAACCGCTTGTCCGTAAATTGCAGAAGCAAGCACGATTTCCCGACACCTAAAACGACAAGATTAACGAAGAAAACCAATAAACATCGATCCAATCAAAATTGAAGCTTGATAAAGTATGATCGATGGTGGGTGGGTCACCTGTGTCTCCGATGATTATGTACTTGAAGAGGTAATCGTACGACATAGCTCACGAGCCTTTTCTTCTGGGTCCGTCGATTGAGTAAAGAAGATTTGTGAGAAGAGGAAGAAGAGATGGGAGAGTCACGCACTTTTTTAGTTAATTATTTGAAAATAAAGGGATCAGATGAAAATTATCAGTGAAGCTATCTCTTTCACATCTTTAACATATCTTTTAGTGAATTAGTTTAAAATAGAGGGACCAGAGAAGAAATACCAATAAACAAAATTATTAAAAGCAGAAGAGAATCTTTCGATAAGATTCCAAACCTCGATCTCGTTCCTTTCCCGTGTTCGTCCTTCTCGATGATCTTTATCAATCTAGTCCACAAATCAAACCCTAAATCCCCAATTCCTCACTGAATCTCTCACAAACCGTGAATCTAAAGAAAAATCGAACCTTTGGGTAGCTGAAAAATCGAACCTTTAGGTTGCTTAATTCGGTAGGGAAAAAAAAATCGAAGCGTTGGGTTGCCTAATTCGGTTTCGGGTTGCCTAATTCGGTACGAAAAATCCGCGATGGATCGCAGTTTTTCGACGCCGCCGCCGCTCTCATCCACCACCTCGCCTCCACCATCCTCCGGCGACTTACCCGAGATCCCCGACGCCTGGTACGGCAACATCCAGTACCTCCTCAACATCTCCATGATCGGTCTCCTAACCTGCGTCTCCATCTTCCTCTTCCTCAAGCTACGCAGCGACCACCGCCGCATGCCGGGTCCCTCCGCTCTCTTATCCAAGCTCCTCGCCGTCTGGTCCGCCACGTGTCGCGAGATCGCCCGTCACTGCGGCGCGGACGCCGCTCAGTTCCTTTTGATCGAAGGTGGAAGCTTCGTGCTCCTCTTCTCGATCGCGGTTTTAGCTCTCTCCGTGATGCTTCCTCTGAATCTATACGCGGGGAGTGCGGTGCTTAGCGATGAGCTTTCGAAGACGATGATCACGCATATCAAGAAAGGCTCGGGCTTGCTCTGGTTGCATTTCGTTTTTGTTGTTGTTGTTGTGGTGATTTCGCATTTCGGAATCTCGGCGATTGAGGCGAGGTTGAAGTTTACTAGGTTTAGAGATGGGAATGGGAATGTGAGTGATCCCAATGCGGATTCCACTGCTGTGTTTACTGTTATGGTGCAGGGATTGCCTAAGAATCTAGGGTCTGATAGGGTTGAGTTTGAGGAGTGTTTAAGGCAGAAGTATCCTGGGAAGGTTTATAAGATTATTGTTCCTATGGATCTGTGTGCGTTGGATGATCTCGCTACGGAGTTGGTTCGTGTTAGGGATGAGATCACTTGGTTAGTTGCGAAGATGGACTCTAGGTTGTTGCCTGATGAGTTTGAGAGTAATGGAGGTGATGGAGTGTTGTCTTGGGTGGTGGGTTTGTGGGTTAAGGTGAAGGTTTTGTGGTCTAGGGTTACGGAGAGGTTTGGTTTTACGGATGATGAGAAGCTGAGGAAGCTGCAAGAGTTGAGAGCTGATTTGGAGTCTCAGTTAGCTTTTTATAAAGAAGGACGTGCACAGGGAGCTGGGGTTGCTTTTGTGGTGTTTAAAGATGTTTACACAGCTAATAAGGCTGTTCAGGATTTTAGAAACGAGAGGTCGAGGAGGACTGGGAAGTTCTTCTCTGTAACAGAGCTGAGGCTACAGAGGAATCAGTGGAAAGTTGAGAGAGCACCTTTAGCGACTGATATTTACTGGAATCATCTGGGGTTGACGAAAATTGCTCTTATTGTAAGAAGGGTCATTGTTAATACTATTCTACTGTTGATTCTTGTGTTTTTCAGCTCTCCACTGGCATTGATTAGTGCATTGGTAAGTGCCGGGAGGATCTTTAATGCTGAAGCGTTGGATAGTGCTCAGTCTTGGCTAACTTGGGTGCAAACTTCTGGTTGGATTGGTTCTCTGATTTTTCAGTTCATGCCCAACGTGTTCATATTTGTTAGCATGTACATTATCATCCCTTCTGCTCTCTCGTATCTTTCCAAGTTTGAGCGGCACCTAACTGTCTCAGGGGAACAAAGAGCAGCTCTGTTGAAGATGGTTTGTTTCTTCCTTGTGAACCTCATCGTGCTCAAAGCTCTTGTCGAGTCATCACTGGAGAGTGCGTTCTTGAAAATGAGCCGTTGCTATTTAGATGGTGAGGATTGCAAGAGGATTGAAGAATACGTTAGCCCTTCGTTCTTGTCAAGGTCATGCGTTTCTGCTCTAGCTTTCCTCATCACAAGCACGTTCTTGGGAATCTCCTTCGATCTACTCGCTCCAATCCCATGGATCAAGAACAAAATCCAGAAGTTCAGGAAGAACGATATGCTTCAGCTAGTCCCGGAGCAAAACGAAGAGTACCCTTTGGAAAATCAAGACCCTAGGAGCAACCTTGAGACGCCACTTCTCCCTGAAAACATGTTTGAGTCTCCAAGATTCGGCGACGTTGAACCTATGAGCCAAGACCTCGCTGAATACCCTATCAGCCGAACCTCACCAATCCCAAAACAAAAATTCGACTTTGCACAATACTATGCCTTCAACCTCACCATCTTTGCTTTAACAATGATATACTCTTCATTTGCTCCACTCGTTGTCCCTGTAGGCGCGGTTTACTTTGGTTACAGATACATTGTTGACAAATACAACTTCCTATACGTGTACAGAGTCCGTGGCTTCCCTGCAGGCAACGAAGGAAAGCTAATGGACACGGTTTTGTGCATCATGCGGTTCTGCATCGACCTGTACATTGTTGCCATGCTGTTTTTCTTCTCTGTCAAAGGAGATTCCACAAAGCTTCAAGCCATTTTCACACTTGGGTTGCTTGTGATGTACAAGCTTTTACCTTCGGATACAGAACGGTTTCACCCGGCTCTTCTTAGGAGTATTCAAACCGTCGATAGCATAGTCGACGGGCCAGTTGATTACGAAGCTTATTCTCAACCAAACTTTGATTGGGACACTTATAACAGATGATGTTTCTACGACTTTATGACTTATTAGTTTTGGTCTTTTGACCATATCGAGTTTTAGAATCCATTTCTTGAAGTTAAGGGTTCTTCTCTTTGTAAGTTTGTATATCCCCTTTTTGTGTATAATATCCATCTTTTGAGAGAATTACGTTTGTTGCAGTCACTATCTATTGCAATTTACAAACGGGATTTCTTTTTTATGCATTAATTAATGTTATTTCTTAACAATGTGATTAAGAGGTCAGAAAAAAAAACGGAAATTAGCACTTGCCTCTCTACTTGGTGTCTTATGTCTCTGCTCACATTTCGACTTGGGTATTCTTACGGAAGATGCTATGCACTTAATAACTGAATATAAGGATCCTGAGCGTGTTGAGGCATGTGGCATATTCAGGTTAGCAGCAATTAGGGCATCTGTGAATGTCTCTCGTAACGGAGGCTATGATATGGAAGAGACAAAGACAACTCTGGCTGGAGCAAACATAACAGAGGCGGTAGGTAGACACATTATAGTTCCTCGGAGCCACAGAAACCAAACCAAACCATCTGCAAAGAGTAGCTCTTCCTCCAACGAAAAATGTGAAATACATGTAGAGCTACGGTCTTTTTCTTTTTCAGATATGTGCTAACACTACTTGTACCGTTCTAACTTCTACGTAGCATAACGAGACTATATAGAACGGTTCAGTTCTTCAGGATATGCAATGCTCTTCCACTCGTATCACTATATCAACTTAACTCTTACTTTTGGGAAATCATAACCTCTTCTTTTTTGTTATACTAGTGGTATTCCGGCGCTACGCGCCGGATTCGTACACTTTATTCTAAAATGAATTATGGTTTTAGTAAAGAAAATATGTTCGAAAATATCAAAATTAAAATATATTGAAAGATAGTGATATTTTTTCTAATCTATTTGATAGTGATTAGAGATTGTAATGTATTACTTTATTCTAAAATTACTTAGTTCAATGTAGAATAGCATAAGTGATTGTGACTAATCGATTTAATAAAAGTAGAATAAAAAGCTGATTGTCAATAACTAAGTTAATTTAGTTGAAATTTGAAGATAAAGTACCGTTCTTTTTTTATTTAGAGAGCATATTTATACTATTAAGTACCATGTGGACAATATAGAAGGAACAACATAGAGCATACTTATACTATTAAGTACCATGTGGACAATATAGAAGGAACAACATTTAAAATTTTGTTTCAAAGACTAATTTGGATTTAAACGTGTGTAATGAAGTTTTGTTCATATAATCTTCTTATTTGATTTTTGGTAAGAAACTATTTCTGACAATGGGACATATTAGCAAATGAGAACAAACATTTATATACATTTTCTGAAAATTAACACAAAAATAAAAAACAGTATGTAAATGAAACTGAAATTTTGGAACATAAGAACCCCATTATAAATTGTAATAATGCAAAATCATAGATGACTTTCCCTACATATGGGAAAACTTATGTTTGGACAAAGCCATTGATCAATGCATCAGAAATGAAAAGTATGGCAGTAGGGAGTGTAGATATGTTTCATTGTTGTAATTTCCGAAGCCAAACCGTGCATGTTTTGTTTTCCTCATCTGTAATTGGAGGCCTATTAGTTCCCTCAAAATCGGTGATGATAAGGTCGACGTCAAGTTTTGCAGTCGCGTTTTAGTTGAAATCTGTGACTGTTATAGTCTTCGCTTTTTAGTAATGTCATCACATATTTGGTTGTCTCTTGAATAATCAGGGTTGAATTGGGATGTTCTATTTCATGGCATGTTAAGATAGATTACATGCCCTCAGTTGTTGAGCCACTAAAATTACTTTGATAGTCGGTGATAGATGGTAGCTGAAAATCAATAATAATTTGTTGTGGATGTAGACTTGGAGTGTGTGGTAGGAATGTGCTCCTGGAGGTCTTTCCTGGTGAGAGTACACATAAGAGAAGTGGTTCATTATTCGTTCATTATTCGTTCTTTGATTATTTGTGTGAGTTAAAGTTGAAAGCAGTATAAGGTGATATAGCTATGTCTTAGCATTTTTAATCCAAAGTTCTTAGGTACCAATTCTTAGAATTTTTTTTTTAACATTTTTTTGTTTAAAAAAAAATTTAAACCAATCGCGAACCGTCACGTATCGGTGATCCCCGCGAATAGTCTAAGAATCAAGCTAATAGCAACTCTTGCAAAAGAAAAGGAAGAGCTGGTTTTTACCAAAAAAGTGGACTCCAATACCTAAGAACCAAGCTAAGAGTCCCCTTTAATCCTGCTTTTATAGATAGTGAGTTTAAGTTTTCGATTTTCTTGACTTCTTGTAACATTTTGTTTAAAGGATCATTATTCAGAAACGTTTTTTTTTAGTCAATGGTTTGTGATGAATTTTCTGTTTGTTTACGTTTTAGATTGAAAATTTTATCAAGATTATCTATAAAATTTATATTTAGTGTGAAATTGTAAGAGAGCATCATAATATATGTTCTTTATATTGACATTGAAATTTAATATATAATATAAATATTATTTAAAATTTGCTCAGGATTCTTATGTTTTAATAAAGCAGTGATATTTGTACTATTTATTTTAAAATTTTCTTACGGTGATTAGAATCGAATCAAATAATCAGGCTTATGCTAATATAACTTATATTTATTTAATCATTATTTTTTTTTTTCGGTAGACGTTGGGTTATTGACGCTCTGCTCGGAGCAGGGAAGATTTGGCGTATAAGAAACAGACTCTGTTTTTGGTACAAACCTGCTTAGCTGCAATCAAAGTAAAATAAAAAAACAGATTAAAACAAGAGTTAATTTGCTCAAAATACTAAAAGAAGTGGAATACCTTAATTTTAGGGGAAAATATTGATGATGGAGGGAATAAAAATGGGGGGAAATAGGATATGGAATGCAAATAGGATAAATGTTATGGGTAGGGAGTGCAAATACTCTTAAAACAAATGCTGGGACAGAGAAGGGGCTAAAGCCTCAAACTTTGACATATGACAAAATGAGGCCAAAAACAAATTAAAACAAATGCAGATTCGGTTAACCCTCAATATATTATGATTAATATAATCATCTATCGTCTACATTTTATAAGCCTTGCAAGTGCTTGTAAGCCTCCATATGTTGTAGAGAATGTTATCAACTTGTTCTTTCGCTGCTGTTAAACGTCCGAGAAGTGAAACATCAGATGTAGTTGCTTGCTCTGCAACTTTGCACGTGTTAGCAAGTCCGGAATCTGATCCTGGTGCCACAGCTTCAGGGACCTGCACACCTTCCTGTTATCAACATAACAAAGATTCTGACTATTTATTTTTATAACCAGTAAATTCACATTAGGAGAAGTGTCTAATACTCACAGCTAAGGTTGGCATAGGTGTAAGCTCTCTTGCTGAAATATGGTGGAAATGGTAAAGGTTTGGGGGATTTGCAGTAAAACTGAAGTCTTTTAATCTGAGCTGGGAGGTATAGGTACTCCCAACAATATCTGCGGGTGACTGAGGCAGGTCAATGTCAACCTGAGTATTAACATTTATCCTCTGCAAACCAGGTAAAACCATTATATATGAATCACTTTACACAAGTAATAATAAAGGCTGATAATTGGAGGTTTATTATAGGTCATACCACAATCTATGCAGCCTCAGAAGCTTCAATTCCAGTCAGTTTAGCCACCTTCGTATCAAATCCAAGGAAAGCGGCTGTGCCAGTGTGGTCTGACACAGAAAATATCACCCTATATCTGTGGTAAGGGAAAGAATATTTGGTTCTTGCTTCCAATACACAGAAATTCAAAGCTTAAAATAAGTTCAGCGACATCATAATGATTCATTGCAGGCGACACATGTGAAGGAAAATTCCTCTTGGACCAGTTTATTTGAACACCAGAAGCAGCCAATACAACACCAACCCTCATCTTGCTGAATCGTGGTCACTTTAGCCGAGAGAAACTCAATGATCTTTCAAGTTTATGAGAAGAACACAAATCTGAAGTATATTATCAAATCGGGAAGGAGGGTGTATGAAGTCTCCATCGTCGGAATCTGTTGCCAGAACAAAATATGCTTCTGGATCTAGTTTGATTTGCGCTGTACATTGCTGGAAGGTCGGATAATTATATTTGAAGCTTGAGCGTGCGATGCGAAGAGGTCAATTGAATGCTTTCATAGGGAAGAGTGGAGTAATCATGCAAAAACTCAAGAGTTAAAGAATAGATTAATGGAAGGTTGATAGTTAGGGGGATCAGAACAGCGATTTAAGTTTCTGGGAATTTTGTAGGGAAGGTCGCAAGCTTGAGAGGAAGAAGAAACTAATGTTATGTGGGCTGTTGATATATTTTCAAATACCAAACTGTAATTAAAGCCCAATTCGAATATGGGGCATGAGATAACCGGATTACACATCACGACTGATTTGGTGAATTGCTGACGTGTCGCAAAACCCCCCACCCTTCTTGATGACGTGGACAGCCTAAAAAAACAGAAAACCCAACTTTATTAGTATAGATATGCCCATTTATTAACCTCGTTTCTTGTATAGAAGTCATTATGAGCCAATATTAATTACGTGTTGGTTTCTTGATATTCTCTACACAACCTTGGAATGTACGAAGAGATAATGAATTGGTTAAATAATACATATATGTTCACATTGTCGGTTTAATATGTTTGAAGAAAAATATCCTATGATAAATGGTTTATGAAAGATTTGTAGATTTATCGATGATGTTAAACATTGTTACACCAGTATGAGTCCATGACCATGTCTACGATTATAGTTTAGTAAGATTAGTTGTAGGAAATTATTCAGAATAAGGGCGAAGATGTTCACATTATAAGTATGTTAGGTTTGTATAACGATTTAATAAGTATATAATTTGCTGTAACATTGACATTCTTTTTGTCAACAAATAAAAATGACAACATTACCAGACCAATATTAATGTTTTAATAGTCAACTTCATAATATTCGAAACAATACAAAGTCTCTCCCTACCAAATATCTTAAACTAATGAATAATTAAGACTTTTAAGAATTCAAGTTGTCTATATTAATTCAACAAATGACCATGATCTATGGATATTGGATATAACCACTGCCAGAGTAATGTGTGGATTATAGTTCTACAATTTACAATGGTAGACACAACAAATCTATCCCGAATGCAGTGTTTTAAAAACTGACCCGGATCCTTGGTTGAACCAGTAAATCCGGTGATCCAGAAAAAAAAAATCTAGTTTAGGTTTTGTGAAAAATCGAAAATTTAAAAATTCGCAAAATTCACTAAAACCCAAAACCTCATATCCGGTAGAATCACCGATTGAACCAATAGATAATTTTTACTCTCTTTTTTTAGTTTTTAATTATATTTTATATTTTGTTTTATATTCTAAGCTAAAAATTAAGAAGTTAGGTTTTCACTTTTCACTTTTCACTTTTATATTTGTGATTTTTAGATTTTGATGAAGATTTCACTATGACACCTGATAAAATGAAATAAAATGGTAGAGAAAATCAAAATTAGTTGATGTGATTTGGTGTTATTTTATTTGTGTTATCGAAAAATTATTTTAATGATGTTTTGTTTTTGGTTTATTTTTAATTTGAAGTTTAATTTATTATTCACGTTAGATATTTAAATACTTATGAACTTTATGTCTTGATTTTTTTACATGTCATAATTTTTAACTTGTTACAAAAAAAAAATATATAGTTTAAATTTTTTTGATATTTTGTATGTTAAATGAAGCAAAAATATAAGACTAAAGTTAAGTACTTTTTAAATGTTTTTTAAACATAAAATATATACATATCCATACAATTATTTTATGTTTTTCAAAAAAAGAAAATATAAGATTTTATTTTCTTTATTTTCATAACTAATATATTGTTATATAATAACATTAATTTATTTATTAACTCACAGTTTATCCGCGGTCGATCCAGTAAACCAAAAAATCATCCGATTCAATATCCAGATTGGATTTAAAAATATTTTTCCGAAGGTAATACACCTAAGAATCTTGAAATTTTCTGGTTAAGGATCTTTTTATGAAATGAGAAAACTATAAGATTTAGAATCAAATCCTCTTTTATATAAGTTTTATACAGAAAATATATTTGTAAAAAAATATCTCATGATTTCTCATTAATTGTAAAATATATAAATGGTTACACAACAAATATATCTTGAAAGTAATAAGGTAACAAATTTTAAAAGTTTTTTTTTTAATTTGAAAAACTGTTATGGTTAAAGATTTTCTTTTGTGAAACGTCAAAACATTATGCTTTAGAAATAAATCTGCTGTGTATTTTATATGGAAAACATATTTAATGTAAACTTAAAAACACATGATTTTCAGTTAAATTTGGTGGACATAAAAAATTAATTAACTGTTTGACCTATTTTAAGAGTGTAAAACATTAAACCAACCCATTTTACCCTACTAGGTAATTTCCCACATGTAAACGTCAACAATCCTCCAATAAGCATCAACATCCAATAAGAATCAGAGAAAGTAAACAAAATGTGTTTTTTCTTGTGCTTCTCCAAAGGGTACTTCCGTAACTTCCTACTCCCACGTTACTCGCTATGTAAAAAAAAAAAAACACGACAAATAAAAAAAGAAAGAGGAACGCAGAAAGAGAGAGGAGACGAAAGACTACTCCCTACCTCCATCGTCTTCTCCTTCTGCTTACTGTTTCCATTTCGCATTACTCACAAACCCTAACCCTAATTTTTCTACTTCCCTCGGACTCTTCCTAACTCAAACACTCGTTTTGATTTAGATATTAACCTCATCGACTCTCTCTTTAACAAAACCCTAATTTTCAACCTCCCACCCCCCACTGATCATGGCCACCTCCGCCGCCGCCACCAATCACGTGAGCGAGTCTACTCGTCACGTGAGCAGCCCTACTTCACAATCACGCCGTCCCTCTCGGGACCTCTCTTCTCCCTGGTCTCAAATCGTCCGCGGCGAATCAGACCCACCGCAGACGCCGACGATCGCCCCCGCCGCCGCCACCGCAACCACCGCTCCTTCCAAGGCACCGATTGCTTCTCCTTCCGTTGTTACTCCGTCTCTTTTGACGGTGGAAGAGAAATCGGAGGAGGCTGGTGATCAGGGGAATGCTGGAAAGAGACCAGCTTGGAATCGGTTGTCCAATGGGTCTTCTGAGATTGGGCCTGTGATGGGAGCTTCTTCGTGGCCTGCTCTTTCCGAGACTACTAAAGCTTCTTCCAACAAGTCTTCCTCTGATTCAAGTCTTGGCGATGTATTACCCTCGTCCGTTTCTCAGGTTTGGTTTGATTCTCATGACTTGGGTTTGTTTGGTTGTTGAAGAAAGCTTCATTTTGTGTATAAAAATCCAATCTTTATCACTGTGTAATGTGTATGATAGAGTTTGGTGAAGATGTGGTCTTTTAGCATCCTTTGTAGCTTTTAGTTGTTTATTCTGTTCAAAGTTTGCTCCTTTTTTTCATTTGAAGATGTAATGTGGAAAACGAAATGGTTAGTTTTTAATGTACGCCTTCACTTATGCATGTGTTACTGTCGATGACACACTTATGTGTTTGATGTAGGGAGCTGCGAGTGCTTCTGTTCCTGCGCCTAAGCAAGTAGGCCGTGCGAACAACCCTAATCCAACACCAAACAACTCGCGCCAGAGATCATTTAAACGGAATAGCTCCTCAGGAGCCGCTGCTAATGGTACTGCTTCTCAGACAACAGCTCAGGGTTCACTCGTTGAAGGCACTTCGCATAATCCTTCTCCTAGAGGGCAGAATCAGAGGAATGGCATTGCATCGCAAACTCACGGTGGTGCTGAGAACCAACGAGACTCGCACAGGAACCAGAATGGTAATAATCATCATCACCAAAATCATGGTGGCAGGCGCAATCAGGAGCACGGGAATCATAATTGGAGTTTCAACAGAAGCTTTAATGGGAGAGATGGAAATGCACAATCACAAAGAGCATTTGTAAGATACGCACCACCGCCGCCACCACCTGTGCAGGCAATTCCTCCTCAGTTTATGGCAGCTCAGCCTCTTCAGTCTTTTGGCGGTCCTGTGCCTTTCCCTCCTGGTGAGAGACACATTGAAAGATCACTTCTTTGAGTTTTGATTTGTTGTTTTGCTAATGCGTCTTGTTCATTTCAGAATTGGCACCACCGTTTTATCCTGGTATGCCTTTTGTTGGTCCTCTTTCACCTGGTCCAGTCTTCTACCATGTCCCAGATTCTCCTTTAAACATGAAACTACAGAATCAAATACATTATTATTTTAGGTAATAACTTCATATTGGGTTTATCTTATTCTTCTCAGATTCAGAATTCTCATTGCTCATTTCTATTCTCGGAGGAGTAATGCAGATGTACATTTTATTTTTTGTTACAGTGAAGAGAATTTGATTAAAGACACGTATCTTCGTGGCCACATGGATGATCAGGGTTTTCTTCCGCTAAGTGTGATTGCTGGTTTCAGAATGGTAAAGTACTTTATGGATGTACTGTTTGCCTATTAGTCTCATTCACTTTTCTCTGATTATGATATCTAAACAGTGTATCTTATTTTATTTCATAGTTCATTACTTTCGGGTCACTAGAACTCCACCAACATTTTGCATGTCTCAGACTGAGGATTAGGGTGAACTTGTATTCTATCTCGTAGATTCTTAGATACATCTAGTGACGGTTTATATAAAGGTTGGCCATGCATGTACATACTTTCAGCAAATAGGATCTGTTCTTAGGACAGGTGATATATATTGATGAATTTATTCATGCATTGAAAGAATCGATTATGAATGTTTCTTTTGCTCCCATGTGATGTGTTTTATAGTGTTAAACTTGAAATTGAATTGACTTTTATGCTGCGTATCTCTATCTCATCAATGTTCATTGCTTTTGATTTTCCTTCTCTTAATCCTAGCTACTATAACATTTTGTTGCTTAGCGTTATTCAAATTATTTGTAATACTCTCTGTGACTTTTAGCTATCTGTGCTACTTCTTTTTTTCTACTTCAGGTTGCAGAACTTACAAATAGCATCCAGGAAATAGTGGAGGCTCTACAAGGTTCACCTTTTGTTGAAGTGCAGGTATTGTCTTGTCTATGTGACCTTTAATGTTATCTGTTTGAAGCTGAAAGTATATAACTATTGTTATATGTTCCTCTCAAGGCATATATGTCATTGAGATTTAGCTTCCTTGTGTGCTTTCAAATTTTTTGCTTTTATTTAATTTCACATTGTTTTTCTTTTCTTTGGTAGGGTGACAGAATAAGGAAGCGCCATAATTGGCAACATTGGTTGATTCCTAAAGATACGAAGCCTGCGGCTCCAAGCCCTCAATCTGTTGATGCAGTAGCAAGCCGAGTTGGAAATTTATCGATTGGCCAGAGCTCAGCAGAGCCAATTGGTGGTTCAGGTAGTCAGCTGCAACCTGAGGAAGCAGAAAACAAAGCTGTTTCAGCTGATCAGCCTGAGTCTTCTGGTGTTGGTCCAGTGAGCAACAGGAATAGCTCAGGTGGTGCAATCCGTTGAACCATCACCATGTTTGGAGATGTTGGTTAGTGTTGGAGATGAAGCGTATTATTTTGTTCTGCCCAAAAATCAGGAAAAACAATAATTAAGGGGAATCCAAAAAAAAGGTAAAGGTAATGGCATAAACCAAAAAGAGACTCGTATTAAAAAAAAAAAAAAAAGGACAAAAAAACAGAGAAAGGATCAAACATTTGTGATTCTTCTAGCTAGCGGAAACTGTTGCATGTTTATGTTTTTTGGTTTTGGTTTTGGTTTTTGGTTATTTTTGAATGTTACTAATAACTTTCTTTAAGCTTATGCTACTTTGTTACATACAATGGGCATTGACGGTTACTTGTAACCATTGTTATGGTATGGGCTTATCGGTTGTTTTCACTACTCTCTTGAATTATTCTTTTTCTTCAGTGGGGAGTTTAGTTATGAGAAGAGTCTAAGAAAAGTAAAAATTTGCTTTTCAGAGAAGACTCGTGAATGTCTTATTCTTCAGCAAATTAATTGTGTTAGAAGCAAAGATTGGTAAAGAGAAGCATTAGCTGAACTGAACAAGTGTCTTTAATTAGTCTTTATTCCTAAAAATGTAAAAGAAGAAACACGAAACTAAAACAAAAGTATGTAGCAATCGGTGCTGAATATGATTGAACAAACACGTGCTTCACGCTCAGCTGACGTTGTACTCTTGTGTAGGGCATGGGTTTTTTGAATGAATGGGTCGCTTTGTGATTAAACAATTTAGCAACATGTTCGGCAAGTCATTACTCACTATGTAGTTGATCTCCTAATAAATAAACATCATGTGATGTAAGACAACACTCAATTTGCATAACATAAGGCTCCGAGTGGTGATCGTAGACTTAGTATTAAAAGCAAAGATGGAATTAAAGTCCAGGATGGTGTAATTGTGGTTTGTGCAAAATTAGAATGCGATATAGTATAACTGGGTTTTAAGTAAAAAACGATACATAATATTCTTTGATTAGTGACAATATATATTTACGGTATTGAATAATAATTTATTAATAGACTAATAATATATAGAATAAGGAATATAGTTAAATAATAAAAATATTATATTAACATAATAAATATATTTTAAATAAAATATTTGATTGGTAAAAATATTTTACTGTATAAATAAATTAATATTAACATTTGGCTAAAATTGAATTATAGTCAATATTTTGGATTTATAGATCATAATTTTTTAGATCAATAAGTAATTTAAATAATAAAAATATCAATATTTATATGACAATCAATTAATAAATAGAAATATAGCTAAAACGTATATACAGTGAATGGTTATCATGGAGAAGATACTGATTGAGTCATTGAGATGACATTTCAAAGCTGCATATATCACTTTTGGAGGTAGAGGAATGAGAGAAGGCATAACACTGGCTACCGTTCCGTGGAGCAATTAGTTTGAATGATTGACAAGGGGATTTAAAATAGGATCACTTCACTTCACTACAAGGCTGATCATATGTTAGCAGGATTATTGTGAAGATGGCTCGAAGCATAACTTAACTCGTATAGAATCATATTCTTTCTTTTCACAGCTTTGTAAAATTTCTTTCTAAGTTTTTTTTTTAGCCTTTGTAAATGTACATTCTTTCTAAATGATCAATAAATTTCACAATTTATCAAAAACAAATACAGCTAATGCATTTCATTTTTCAAAAACATAACAGTTATAAATAAATATATTTTTATCAAAGCTTTTTTACCAGCAATACACTTTTTAAATGTGGAGTGCATTACTGAAAACACTGGGTAAAAAGTTTAATATAATGTACAATACAATACATATATAAACTGATTTATAGAAGATTAACTACATTTAATTATAATAATATTTTGAATTATTATTAAAAGAATATGTTTGGTAGAAAATAATTATGTACAATATGATATGCATACACATTTATACACGTGTTTGGGGATATATATATATATATATATATATTCTCGTCTAGAAAGTTAAAGTTATGTGGTAGATTATTTTACCATCATTTTTTTCCTTTTATTGTTGAAAAGTAAAGTTATTATGTGTGAGTTTTTTTTTTAATTCATGTATTTAAATATTTGTGCAGATTTTAAATATGTAGTGACTTTTATTAGTTACATGAATCCGTGCGCGGATTTACAGTAAATTGTTATGAAAACACGAAATGAAAAGCAATTGTTGTAAATGGTGATCAAGTTGCGGTTTTGATCATGTAAACCGCAAATGATATGTTATAAGTCATTACCTAAGTTTGACATAGATTCATGGTCTATACAAGGTTGAGCCTGAAGTTTGCGGATCTAGACATCTTATATATTTTGGCCCTTTAATTATTTATTTTTGAAAAAATATTAAAAATGCAAAGGCAAATAATCAAATTCTCAACCTTTTGTAGCTCAGAGTTGGACACATACTTGTAGAGCCGACCGCATGCTTGTACACATGTTGGCCTCTAAAATAATTATAGACATTAGAACCTCAAGCAAATGTTTGATCAGCTTGTAATCATGTACGACCATGGATCTATATATCAAAGTTTAAAAGCTTGTATACTTGTCTAGAATTCGTCATAGATTATGCAATTTCTTGTAAAATATAGGATTCAGATCTTTTGGAAACTTGTTGTGGTCATGTGCTATAAAGAAAGCAGCATCCAAATGTTACGAGTTGTATGTAGAAAAACTATATGACAATGTAATTAAAGATTTGGCCACTATTACAATTATTTAACATAAATAGATTTCAAGATCTTACTATAATATCAAAGATAATGCCATTCAAAACAAATTTAATGGTAATTTCAACTAATTTTCAAGGGTAACTAACAAAAATTTCATATGTGTGCAGATTTATATTGTGATATTTGGTTTCACTTTTCAGCATAATAGTTGTACATTTTTAGTCTAGTTTGGTAGATTTTTCAACTTAACTTGATTAGATTACTGCAACGAATTAAGTTTTACGTCCCTACTAATAACTAAAGACAACTTTCTTTCGTAATTAATGAGAAATGACGTTACACTAAGATGATCTACTTATCATTCAAAGCCATGCGGGCTCTACCTAATCTTAGTCATCACTATTGGTAACTAAACAAACACAAACACTCACAGATATCACAATATTCTTTATGTTCACCTAAATGTGGAAAAAAGGAAAACTGAAACAACTCTTGTGTTAAAAAAAACAAAAAAACTGAAACAACCCAAGAATAGGTTCTCCATACACAAAATTATTATTCATAGATTATAAACCCTAATTCACAAAAACATAGAAAACATATAGAAAGTTGTCCAAATTTTCTTACCATTTTGAAGATGTCAAAGTACACAATCCAACCATCTCCTCTATCCAACGGCTATTATTCCTTGCCTCTTTCAACTCCATTTTTTTTGCTTATTGCTACTTTTGGTGGTAAATTATTACGACTACTGTAGTGCACGTATGGTCTATCGACAACCTACGAGCATGTGATTATTGTACGGACCAGCGAAACTAATGAATCCAACGGTCGTTCTTATTGTTCGTTGGATTATCATTTGAACAAAAATGAAAATGAATAAATACGAATATCATCAGATCAAATCAATGTCCTGAGTCTCCTGACTGATTTCGGGTCTATCAACCTTTTCCTTTGCAAGCGAATTTACTTTTGTGAACACTTTTACTTCTCTTTTTATCTTATAATATTTGTATACAACGAAATTACCTTTAATAATTATAAGTTTGAACCAACTTTTCTTTTTGAGAAAAATGTTCTCATGTATAATATATGGATTTTTTTTAATATTACAAACTATGTGAAACATAATTTTAAACCAACTTCAAAGAAACAAAGTATGATAATAAATCAGATATGGGTTGATCTTATAGTGATCTTGTTTGATAAGATCTTATTTCAAAACTAATTTGGTAATAACCAGAATGATATATATCTTTTTTTTTTTTTTAACAAATCCAGAATGATATATCATAATTCAATATTACTTGTAATTAATCTTTTATCCGTAAACTACAAGTATTGATTTTACTAGTGAAAGTTAAAACTTTCATTTTTATTTTAGTTACACCATATTTTAGCAACTGGCAGTCAAATTTTCCGTTTATATGCATTATTTTAAACGATATTTTAAGACATGGAAAGAGATTTGATGGAGTTTGGGACAGAGCAATATAATGCTGGCACCTGTCCAAACCCCATGAGACATGACTTGTCACGCTCCCTCCCTCTGATACAACTCACAAGCTCTGCATAGCTTAAATATACACAACTTGGAGTTTTCATTTTATTAAAATGTTCTATAATCTGTTGGCTCAAATATCTATTTTCATTTGTTTAAAAAAAAAATTAACTACATTGGAGTTTTCATTTTATTAAAATGTTTAGTGATTTCAAATTTCTACGGAATCAAGAATCGCCTATTTGTCCAAATACGAGATCAATTTTCCTCTAATACGAATGGCTAGTTGGCGTGAATCTGTAACTCTCACAGAGTAATTGGGTTTGCCTGTCACTATTGATGAATATCCAATGTAGTAGTCGGTTGGTTCTCTGTCAACCAGACACCTTTGGTTAGAAAGAAAAAAAAAAACATTTTCGATTGACATAAATTTCTCACGGGTTCAAGAATTTTTATATATTTAAATACGGTCAAAGCAGGTGTTGGTAAACTAAAAATCAACCACGGTCAATGCATATAAACCAAAGTCTCAATGTATCATCAATATCAAAATTTTAATTTAAACTTCTGTACCATACACAAAAGAAATACAGTATCTTTTTTTTGCTTGAACTTTTACACAAAACAAAGTTTTTTCATCGATTTCAACAGAGCACACAAACAGTTGTCTGAACTTTTGTTAGATTAAAATATAGGTTTGAGTGATACAAAATTTTACAAAAAGAAAACAATGCAAAAGATCACGGAGCTTCTCTCTATTTTCGGCCACAAAAGGAAAGTAACTTTTTACAATAGTTATCTTTGAGTTAATTTCTAATATAAACAGTTTATAATGTACCACTAGATTTTGACCCGTCCTTTAAAGTACGAGTATATTTTTTATTTTAAATTTCAGAAATTTAATTTTTCATATTTCTATTTTTTTATAATCATATTGATGATTTTTTATAGATAATTTAATTTTTATATTTATGATTTTCATAGTAATCATATTTGTATTTTTTTCAAATTCTATTTAGCAAAACAAATTGGGTCTTATGAATTTTGATCGAATATAAATAAAAACAACATAACACTTTTTATTTGTCTAAATTTTTAATTTTATATAACTAATGTTTATACGAACTATTTTCTTTAGTATATTAGATAGACTATGATATTAGAGTTTTGACCCACAGAAAATATAATGTTTTTAATTAATATATATATATATAGAGAGAGAGGGAAAATGATATTTATAGATAATTTTCATGTAATTATATTAAATATGTCAGGTTACATAATTATACACTTGTGTCATATGTATTTGAAAAATTATTTTCAAACTTTATTTTTAAAAGTTGCAATCTATTATATTTCTTTAGTAGTTAACTAAAATATTTGTACCCAAAAAACCTAATTCAGAAGAGACCCAAAAATCAAAGTCTTATACTCTATTAAATCTAACTTATATACTATAACGGTTCTTAAAACGTAGTATCTAAAAACCATTATCAAACTCAATCTGCATCGAAAACTGAATATTTTTCTTTTAAAAATGTTTAAAAATAATTTTTAATATCTATTACTTAATTGAAGTTTCTTATAAAAGAGTTTTCATTATATATTATTTAGCATAATTGATTTTTCTTTTTATTTTATTGGTGTTAAATTTGATATAATTTGAAAATTATATATTTTTATTTATTGGTTTTACTCAAGGGCTGTTGGGTAATTGTATATCACGATAATAATACATATTTATTATAACTATATATTATTAAGTTAACAAATACTCCACTATTGAAAGTGAGTTTATATTTATTTTAGGTTGGGATTCATTAATGTAGAAATTGTACTCTCTTTTTTCTTGTTATTGATCTATTTAGAACATCTCCAGGAGCAACCTTATATTTAAAGTTTGGTGAACGTTATATTTGAGGTTTAAGAATGTTGTTCTTCAAGAATAAACCTTTAAAAAAACCTTACATTTTTTATACTATTACATCATAGTCCTTATTTTAGACAAAAACCAAAGAAAACCATAACACTTTTTAACAGTGTATAATACTAACAACTTGTAGTAAAGTTCTAGCAAAAAAAAACTTGTAGTAAAGTGAAAACCGTTGCTAGATATGAACTTGGAGCCTCAACATAGTTACAAGTGGACACATAATTTCGAATACCTAGATCATAATAGAAAGACAATGTTCTCATGGTATAATATGTGGAAGCTTTTAATATTACAAGCTATGTGAAATATTTCAAAAATGATTATATAATAGATAATTATATTTTTTTCTATGAAGATCCTCCTCATACTGTATTACTATTAGTCGTTATATGAGTTCTAATAACAGTAGTTTCTGGCTGATTTATCTTTTTATAATTTGTATAGTTTGTTTTTCTGGAGTTTAAAATCCATTTTTTATATAAAAAGATAAAATGTTATTTAGACAATTGGACTAACGGATTTTTCACACCATGAAAGTGATTAAAAGAAGAAAAAACAAAGAGAGAACTAAACAAGAAAAATAAGTCGTGGAAGCACCGTAGCCTAGTGGTTAAGGTTTAAAGGCTTCTACACCAGGTATGGGATTCAAATCCCAGACTATGCAGTTTCTACACCATGAGGGTTTTAATTTCCGGAAGTGGTGAATGGCGAATTATGCAGACTGGAGAAAAGACTTACAAGAGATCTTCAACATGGCGCAAGGCGTACCGTCAGAAATGGATCTCATAGGGGGGCTCAAGGTGATGCAGTAAGACGTGAATCCGCATAAGGCAGGTAGAATTGTCGGCTGTAATATCGTCTATGTAATATTTCTCATAATTTGTAATGCATAATTATCCAGTGTTAAAAAAACAAGAAAAATAAGTAAAACATTTGAGAGTCCAAAGTGATTAAAAAGGGTGTGATCTTTAAAAAAGTGAGATTAAACCAAAGTTTAATTATTTGCCTATTTTTCTTCCCCACCCACTCTTTTCATTCAAGGATCGTAACAATAGTTTTTACTAACTTCACTATTAAATTATCAAAACAATTATTCTTCAAATTAGATCAAAACTCTTACTACATAGTTATGTAATTTTTCTTCTTCCTTTTATCTTTTATTTTTTAGTTTCAATCTCGCTGTCTCTTCTTCTAGACCCCAACCATCATTCTAGAAATGACTGGTGGAAGTCAAGAAGCTCTCTGAGCTCCCTACTCTCTCTCTCTAAGACAATTGACACCAAAGCCTAAAGCTGTGTGTATTGGTTCTTTTTTCCCAATGTTTTCATCAGCAAAGCATCAAAGAAACAATAGAGTCTCTGTTCCAAACAAGAACAAGATTCTCAACAAAGTTCCTTCCATTTCTTCCTCCTCATCATCAACATCATCATCCTCATCATCTCCTTTACATTCACAAGATTCTCAAGCCCAAAAGAGATCTCTAGTCACCATGGAAGAAGTTTGGAAAGACATCAACCTTGCTTCCATTCACCACCTTAACCACCACAGCCAACATCCACAACACAACCATGAGCCAAGGTTCAGTAGTCTCAACCATCAGAACCAAAACCCTAACTCTATCTTCCAAGATTTTCTCAACGGACCTTTGAGCCAGGAACCAACAAGGCTCACCATGGGATCTTCCTCTAATAGCCATACTACCACTGCCACTTCCCTCTTCAGCAGCTCTCCTTTGGCACCTCCTGCAACTGTTCTGAGCTTGAACTCTGGTGCTGGCTTTGAGTTTCTTGATAACCAAGCTCCACTTGTTACCCCTAACTCTAATCTGCATAGCCACAATCATCTCACAAACATTTCTTCATTCGACACCCCTTTTGACGCTCTGGTTACATCCACTTGTTTTGGTAAGAAAAGAGGTCAAGAGTCCAATGAAGGTTCAGGGAATAGAAGACATAAGCGTATGATCAAGAACAGAGAATCTGCTGCTCGTTCTAGAGCTAGGAAACAGGAATGTGACTCTCCTCTCCTAACCTTCTACTTGAAAAATATATATAGTTTTGCCATCACATGATGGTATGATCTCAAAAAGCTTTTTGAATTTTGATTCTCATTTGCAGGCTTATACAAACGAGTTAGAGCTTGAAGTTGCTCACCTTAAAGCAGAAAATGCAAGACTCAAAAGACAACAAGATCAGGTAAACAGAGAGATTCTTATTGTATGTTCCCTTATGATTATGAAGCACTCATAATAATAGTTCAAATCATTATAGTTAAAAGTAAATAGACATTCTCTCCATTACTTGAAGTATCTTTGTTTTTACACTTGCTTTTGTCCAATGCCATCTTGAGAGGTAAGATTTTGATACTTAAGTTCTTTTTGTGTGTGTGTGTGTTTGTGCAGTTAAGAATGGCGGCAGCAAATCAGCAACCCAAAAAGAACACACTTCAAAGGTCTTCAACAGCTCCATTTTGAGAAATTTACTAGTCCTTATTTCTCTTTTGGGGATTTGAGAGTCTTTCATGAAGAAGTGAAAAAATGGAAAAGTTTGTACCTCTTTTTATTAGCTATAAGTATAACTAAGCTAGATTTGTAAACCTAAGATATTGCAGGGTAAAAAAGTTGGTAAAAAAAAAAAACAGAAAGAGGAAAGGATCTTTCCATCTCCTAAAGCACAGGAACATCTATCCCTGGCCCTCTCTCCTTTGTTATGTCATTTTCTTATGTCCTAACTTGTATTCTTGTAGTAATGCTACTTCCTCTTCTAATGCTAGTTTGAAAAATTCACCTATTGTGTTATACTGTTCAGCCCGTTTGGTTCTCAAAAGAAGCAAAAGGTTCATGTGACCAATAGACAAAAACAGTGCTCCACTTAGATGATGACAATACCAAAGAAAAGTAAGAAGGGGACCGACCTATCACTGAACATTTATGTTACTCCCTGCCCCATTTATCACAGAAATGTCCATTCTTTTGGCTGGCTACCATATATAAGCCAACAGCTTGCACTATTAAATTGGAACCTCCAAGCCAATGGGAATTAGAGTCAGCCCACTTTTTTTGGTTGGTCAAGAGAGATCCCCCACGTGTTACTTATTTATTTTCTATACTGGTCATCATCAAACACTAGTTGTGTTGGTATGGATCTAATTTATCAAGAAATTAGTTTTATCCCTCTTTTGCTATTGTACATTATCAAAACACTCTGTTTGTCCAATAAGATTATTCTTGATCCACTTTTGGTTGTTGATGTCTTGCTGTGTGTTCTTTCAAGCAACTGAAGGTGGAGCTAATATGGTGTGGCATTGAGATAGAGAATAAACATTACCAAAAGTAGGACTGTGACTAGAATCTATCCCTCACAGTATATGGTAATACTTAGAGCCTCTCAAATAGGCATCCAATACTTTAAAATCACCCTTTTTAGTTTCATTCCAGTCAATGAGAATCCTTGACTTCAAGAAGAATCCTAGACTTAAAGAAGAATCCTAGAATCTTAGAAACGAAAGACAACACTTGATCAAAAAAAAAAAAAAAAAGAAAAAAAAAAAGAAAGAAACTAAAGACAACACTCACACTGAACAATATACTTTTCCAAGGACCCTGACATGGAATTTTCAAAAGAGCTTCTTGGTCTCCACGAAAGCTACTACATAATGGAACAAGGTTAGGGTAAGAAGACCAAGTATCAAATTGCAGATATCAAAGATTGAGACGAAGATTACAATGACTAAGATGGTGCAAGAGTAAAAAAAAAATGATGGTACAAGAGTAAGTTACCTAGTTTGGTACCGACAGTGACGATGTGGACAACTCTGGGATCCATTTCTTGGAGACATTCTGATAACTAGCCTTATTAATGACTCATTAGTAATGAGAGAAGGCTAGAATGAAAACGTCAGCACCACGGTAACTCAATGATCTTAATCTGTTATAGTCCTCCTGCCCTGTAAAACCAAAACTAAAAGCTCTACCAAAGATGATGATGATGAAATGGGTCATCATCATTACGTGCAGTATCCCATAATCCAAGATTCAGCGTGCTCCCGTTAACAACTACATTGGCACTCAAGTTATAAAAAAAGCGTCGGCACATAGGCATGTGCTTCAACATTAAACGAAGATAGAGGCTTTCTTTCTATCATACACATCACAATTTAGACAAGATAGTAGTCAGACAGAGTATCCTACCGTGGACAGCTCCATCACCAACAGTAACGCTCTTAAAGAACCTTGAAGCGCTCATTGCCTCCACAAGCTTTCATTGCCTCCACAAGCTTCTCTACGCTTCTTCACCAATACAAACACCCTCAGATCTACAACTAAGGAACCAAGAGAACCCCCTCTCCGACAATATGCCTTAGAGCATCCACATCAATGAAGCCTTTGGGATTCATTGAATCAATTTTTTATTATTAATTTTTTTCTGTTTTATTTTTTTTATTTTTTTATAAAAAAAAATAAACGAATTGTGGGCCGCCACGTGTCGTGGGACCTGCGCTACAGTGATGCACCGGGTTTATCGTGGAGAACCTGCAAGAGGCGGCACTACAAGAAAACTAAGCCATTACTAGGAAAATTTACTAGGAAAACATTTCCTCGTAAAAATACTACTAGTTTACTTCGACTTTACGAGGAAACATCTTTTCCTCGTAAGGTTCTCGTAAACTTACGAGAAAAGCGTTTCCTCGTAAAGTGGAAGTAAATTTACGAGGCTCTTACGAGGAAAATAATATTTTCCTC